GTGCTCGAAACCGGGTCCTCCCCAACACCTCCAAACCCTTCCCTCCCCTGTTACTTCAGGCGAAGCTGCTTGCCAAGGTCCCCTTCGCCACCCCACTTCTGGTTGATCGTCCCACCAATAAGAGCGGTCCGTGTCCACCCTCGAGCCCGATCCCCTTGGAGGGCTCGATTGCGGCGTGGTCTCCTCTGCGGAGGAGAACCCCTGAAGGTGCTGCCTGAAAGTGTGGGGTAAAAGCCAGTCGTCAAAATACTCCTCTGGCATGGGCCTGTGTGGGAAGAGTGCATGGAACTCGTCCTTAAGCAAAGGTTCCTCCAGAGCATAATCTGGCACCCAACTGTTGGCGCTAGCCGGGTACCTTCCCTGGCGAGGAGGTATTCCACTCCCTCCTCCCCCATCTCGAGTCCAGAATTTCCGTGACCTCGTTGAGTGTCGGGGTCCTCGGTGACTTCCCCCTGGTGACTTCCTACGCGGGTCTGGTGCCGTCCCTGGCTCCTGAAATCTGTGTGGGGCCTTGTAGGGTGTAAGCACCGACCTATGAAAGACCGGGTGCATTCGGGAATCCTCTGGGAGGGTCAACCGAAAAGCTACGGGATTGATCCTGCCCTCAACTTGGTATGGCCCTAGCTGTTTGTGTCCTAGCTTCTTCTTAGCTAACGACTTGGCCGGCACCGCCTGGGCTGCTAACCATACCCAGTCCCCCACCTGGATGTCTTCTCCTGCCCTCCTGTGCCTGTCTGCCTGCACTTTGTAGGCGTGTTTAGCTAGTTCCAAGTGCCGTCGTAGCTCCTCGTGGACCTCCTGCAATTCTGCTGCTAAATGTTCCGCTCCCTGCGACTCCCCCTGCGTCGTCGTCTCCAACGCCGGGAATGTTCTGGGGTGTCGCCCATTGTTGGCGAAGAACGGTGTCACCCCCGTTGACGCGTGCTTCGTGTTGTTGTAGGCAAACTCGGCCATCGGTAAGTAGTCCACCCAAGTTGCAGGCTTCTGATTGGCGTAACATCGCAGGTACTGCTGCATGATGGCGTTGACCCTCTCCGCTTGGCCGTTGGTTTGCGGGTGTCTCGCCGACGCTAAGTTGATCTTGACATTCAGGATGCCCAGGAGCTTCTGCCAGAAACTGGAAATGAATTGGCGACCCCGGTCGGACAAAATGGACCGTGGTAAGCCGTGCACCCGGAACACGTGGTCTATGAATAGCCTGGCGGTCTGCTCCGCTGTTGCCACCTTCGCGCAAGGAATGAAATGCGCCATCTTGGTGAACAGATCTACAACCACAAGCACCGCCGTCTTGCCCCGCGAACTGGGCAGATCAGTGACAAAGTCCAGCGCCACCCTTTCCCACGGCTGCAGTGGCGTCTCCAGCGGTTCCAGCAATCCCGCTGGCTTCTTGTGCACTGGCTTGGACCTCTGACAAGTGTCACATCTGGCGACGTAATCCGCGACTTCTCCCCGCATCTGGGGCCACCAAAAGTCCCTGGCTACTAAGTCCGCCGTCTTCTCCTTGCCGAAGTGACCCGCGCTGGGGGCGTCGTGTAACTGCTGTAAAACCTTCGCTCGGAGATCGTCTCCCGGGACATAGAGAGCACCTTTGCGGGTCAGCAGGCCGTCGCGTATCTGGAATTCGCCGTCCTTTGCTGTCCCTCTTCGCACCTCCTCCATCTTGGATTGTGCAAACGGGTCCGTCTGTAGCGCGCGTCGTACCGCGTCCAGGTCCACGGCGGCAGAAGCGCACGCCCACGCTTGCGGTGCAAAAATGTGCCTGGCTGCCACTGGTGCCGCTTCCTCAAGATACTGCGGTTTCCTGGAGAGCGCATCCGCTATGATGTTGTTGTCTCCCGGGATATACTCTATCCGGAAATCGAAATCCGCAAAGAACTCCGCCCATCTCATGTGCCTCTGGCTCTGGAGCTTCGCCGTGCGCCAATACTCCAGGTTCTTGTGGTCCGTGCGGACCTGCACGGTGTGCTTGGCTCCGATGAGGAAGTGCCGCCACGCCTTGAAAGCCGCGTGGATGGCCAACAACTCCCTGTCCCAGATGGTGTAGTTCTGTTCCGACTTGCTGAGCTTCCGGGAGTAGAAAGCGCAGGGCCTCCAGTTCCCTTGCGAATCTTCCTGCAAGAGGACGGCCCCCACTGCTCTGTCAGATGCGTCAGTCTCAACCCGCATGGGCCTGCCAGGATTCACGTGTAGCAGCTGGTCTTCGGACGCGAAGAGACTCTTAAGTCTCCTGAAGGACTGCTCCGCCTGGTCCGTCCAGGTGAACTTTTCTTCTTGGAACTGAGGGTGTCCGTGATAGCTGCCGTCTCTTTCGCGAAACCCCTGATGAACTTGCGGTAAAAGTTGGCGAAGCCGACGAACCTCTGGACCTCCTTCCGATTGCGCGGGCTATTCCAGTCCAACACCGCGCGGACCTTGGCGCTGTCCATGGCTAGTCCCTTGTCGGACAGCCGGTAGCCCAGGAAATCCACCTCCGTCACGTCGAACTGGCACTTCTCCAGCTTGGCGTAGAGTCTGTGCTCCCGTAGCCTCTGCAGGACCTCCTTTACGTCTCTTTCGTGAGTCTCCTGCGATTCCGAGAAGATCAGAATATCGTCGAGAAAGCATACGCACTTCTTGTAGAGGAGTCCTGCTAGCACGTGGTGCATGAATGCTTGAAAACAGTGGGAGCCATTTTGGAGACCAAACGGCATAACTCTGTATTCATAGGTGCCCAGCGGCGTGAACATGGCCGTCTTCCACTCGTCACCTTCCCTCATGCGTATGAGATTGTAGGCTCCGCGTAGATCCAACTTGGTGAAGATCCTCCCCTTCCTCACCGTCGCGAGCAGGTCGTCAATCTTGGGCATGGGGAAAGCCTTGGGTTTTGTCATCGAGTTTATGGCCCTATAGTCCACAATGAGTCGTTTTTGGGGCGTGTCCTTCTTCTTCACGAAAAACACAGGACTGCCCCCCCACTGCCTTGGATTCTCGGATGAATCCCCGCTTCAAATTGTGATCTATGAACTCCCTGAGCTCCTGCATCTCATCTTCAGACATGGAATACAGCTTCGCAGTCGGCAGCGTTGCCCCTGGTAAGAGGTCAATTGCACAGTCGTAGGGCCTGTGGGGTGGTAATTGGTCAGCTTCCTTCTCGCAGAAGACCTCCAAAAATCCCTTGTACTTGTGGGGCACTGCCTGCACCATGCCTAGATGCAGCTGTTGCCCTTCCTCCCGGCCCTCCTCGTCCTCACCAATCTGGATGCAATGTTGTGCACAGTAGGACGAGCCAAAGGTGAGCTGCCGCTGGTACCACGCCAAGGATGGGCTGTGTCTATCCAGCCAACTCATGCCTAGCACTATGGGCGTGTCTGACAGTTGGGTGACATTGAAACTGATGACCTCGCGATGATTCCCAATTTTCAGCAGCATGGCTGGCGTCTGTTGTACCACTTGCCCACCCAGCAACTTCCTGCCATCTACAGTGACCACATTCAGAGGCAGCGTGGCTGGTAGTAGCGCTATGCGATGCTGCTTGACGAACTGCACCCCCACGAAGTCTGCGTTGCTCCCTGAGTCAATCGTAATGGGGACTTCCAGGGTGAGTCCATTAGGCAGCTGGAGAGTAGCAGTGAGCTGCACCACTGGCTTAGGTGGTAAGGGGTCTGTAGGCTGCAAAAGCGCTGGGGACTGCTTCATTGACTTGCCTGGCGGAGCCCCAGCGTCTCTCCCTCCAACCAGGCATTCTCGTTTCCCTGAAACTGCTCCCCTTGGAAAGCTTCCCCTGTTACTGTTGCTAAGGCTGCAGTGTGCTTCTGGAGCCTCTGGGGACACTCTTTAGCCATGTGCCGTGCACTGTCACAGATGTAACACTTCCTGGTCCCTCTAGGAGGCTTCGCTTTGACTGCTCCTGACGCTGAGGCTCCGGCAGCTGTCTGAGCCTTTGCACCACCCAGTTCCATCTGTTCTTCCCCCGCTGCCAGGACAGGCGAAAGGCTTGAACGTTCCAAGTCCCTGGAAGGAAAAGGAGGCGCTCTAGCTGGTGGGCGGACGTGACGCCCCTCCTCCCTGTGCCAAGGGCGGTCTTCTTGGCGCACCCCTATCGTGAGTGCCCTCTGCACGACGTCTGCTAGGGTTTGAGGTCTGTCTCCCCTAGCCAGCTCATCTTTCACTGAGCCATGCAGCCCTTCCCAAAACAAGTCCCTCACTGCCAGGGAGTCCTTTTCCCAGCCCAGCACATTCAGCAATGCAAAAAAGCGAGAATGGTACTGACGCACTGTAGCCTTGCCCTGCCGCAATCCATGCATCTCCTGACGTGCCACATCAACGTCAACAGTAGATTGGAAGCAAGCGTCCATGGCTTTGAGAAATTCATCAGAGTCCCTGCGTGCAAGACCATCTTCGCGCCATAAATTGCGTAACCAATTCCTTGCTTCCCCATGCAGGTGCGACACAATGAACCCCACTTTTTCCTCCTCATCCTTGAAGTCCTTTCGAAGTAAATGCAGTGCATATACGACGTCTGCTCTGAAATTGGGATAATGCTTCAGGTTCCCATCGAAGTGGGCTACTAAATTGCCCCCCCTTCGTCCCAGTCCGATTCCCTCTGATCTGGACCCCGGGAACCCCTCTCTGCACGCCCGATCCCACCTGGCTTGCAGATCCTGGCATCGCGCTTCTGCTTCTGCAACTGTCTTCTGAGAAACCACGACGGCAGTGGAGAGCTCGGTGACTGCGTTTTGCAGGGACGCTATCTGCTCCTCAGTAGTCATTGCTGCCAAACTTCGTGAGCTGTGCAAAAAAAAATTTTTGCGGTTTTTTGTTCTGAGAGGGGACTTACTGTCAAGGCTGCCTCAAGTCTTAGCTCACAAAAGACCAACGCCTACGTCTTCTTGTATACAAAGGTGTTTATTGCAGTTCATGGTTTGCTTGACATCCTAGGCGCGCAGCCTTACGTCTCTTACGCTAGACCGCCGAAGTCCCCTCTGAGTCAGTTCCTCCTCTGCACCAATTTAAGAGACTTGCGCTGCTCCACCTCTTTCTCTCCTTCCTTTTCCGCAGGGTCCTTCTGCCCCCTGGGGTTGCGCCCCTTCTGGATTCCTCTGACGCTGAATCCCCAGACTGCTCTTCCCCCCTCCTGCGGGCTTTGGGACCTGGCCCCTCCTCCGGACTCCCTGCACTTCCGCGCGCCTCTACATTTGAACTAGGCGCGCGCGCCAAACCTCTAACTTTCCTTTTGACAGTTACACTACTCCCTTCACTGCTCCCCTCCCCTTCCGGGAGGGCGGCTTGCTCTGACCCCCCTCCTTTCTCTGCTGCTGGAGCTGCTTCCTCTGACACACTGGAAACTCCACCCCCTTCACTGCACTTTGGTGGGGAGGCTGGTCCTGACGCCCAGCTGCCACTTTGGGATCCTCCGCTGGCACCCTGCTCCTGACACTTCCCCCCTGGGGCTCCCTGGCCCTGACCACCGGCGCCCCCTTCTGGGAATCCTCTGATTCGCTGGAAAGACTCATGGAATCCCTTGAGTCATTGTCATCCTCTTCCTCGCTGGCTTGGAATTCCTCCCCCTCGCTCTCCATCTCCTGCCTACCCTGTGCCTCTCTCTCTGAACCCCTGACAATAATTAAGTGATTAAAAAGCACTTTTAAATAATATTTGGAGACATTATTTCAGTGGCAACAAAGACGGCTGAGTTTCTTTTCTAACCCTTTTTCTGTTGAGTTTGAAGCACTGCACAGACATAACCCTACTAAAGCGGTTCATTGTTCCCATGTTTCAAGTTGGAAGGGGCTGAGGATAAGAGATAATTATTTACAACACTCCTTCAGGGTGGTTCATCCCGAATACTGGTGGTTACAGTAGCATAGTTCACTCTTAATAAACCATGACAGAGGTGGGACAAATGTGGGTTTGGATTTTCCCAGTAAAAATCCCTCACTCCTCAAGTTGTACTGAAGACCAGTCTCTTTAAATCAAGCATAGGCAAACTCAGCCCTCCAGATGTTTTGAGACTATAATTCCCATCATACCTGACTACTGGTCCTGTTAGCTGGGATGATGGGAGTTGTAGTCCCAAAACATCTGGAGGGCCAGGTTTGCCTATGCCTGCCTTAAATAGTCCCTTCAGGGTGCAAACTAGGACTCTTGAGGACTGTGGCCTTGGTGAGAGGGAATGTGCCATGGAGCTGTCAGACAAGAATGTCCAGAGTGAGGAATCAACTCTTCATTGTTGAATGTACACTCGCAAGCTAGGGAGATGCATGTCCATTTATCTGACATCTCCCAGCTACTCCTAAGTGTGCACCTGCTGAGGCAGTTGCTGCAACAGAGAGGCCCCACCCTAACCTCAGCTTATGTATCTGCCCATCTGAGCGGTACACAAGCAGGAGAAGACTCCACCTGCATGTAACGTTCTGCTCCTCCCTCTTCAATCCTCTTCTGGTCCTGGGGGACAGTGGAGCAGGAGACGTGGGGGCAGGAGGAGCAGGTGTGGAAGCCCTCGACTATACACCAGCCTGACCTAGCTCTCCCTTCTCCACCACCTGTTCTTCTCTCTCCAATTCTGCAGCTTCTTCTGCCTCTGCCTCTCATCTCCCAGCTGTTACAAGTTTGTCCAGTTCACTGACCCCTTCTCCTAAGGCAGTCTCCAACTCCTCTTCTCCTGGTGCCCACTCAACAGTATCCAGCCACTGCTCCTCAGTATCCAGCCAGTCCCTGGCAATATGTGGCTGTAGAGGTGGTGTAGCCTATAGAGAGGCCAGTAGGCTAGAAAGAGAGAGGGGCCTGAAGGGGCAGATTTGGTCCCCTGTCTTGAGGTTCCCCACCTCTGCTGTGAGTTGAGGGCACTCCTCATTCTTCTTATCCACATTGTCATCAGCTTTGATGGTTGCTGCCAGCTTTCCTAAGTTTGTGAGTGGCATCTGAACTTCTGATGACCATAGATTTTTAAAAAGGATGTTCTCCAGATTTTATGAAATGTGCCTTATAAAACAATGACTCCTGTTTAATGATAGCTTATCATTCTCTTTCTGTAGTAGCTAAGTGCAAAAAAGGGGAAGAACCCCCCCCCCAACGATATTCTCCTCTTTTAAGTGATTTATTTAAGGGAAAAAAGTTATCCTGGGTTTTAAAATTGTAAAGTTTAAAAGTACTGTGTAGGATTATTTTCCCCATGGTATCTTAGAGAGTCAAGTGTCAGAAGTACAGAAAATATGAGCGAAGAGGACTCAGTTCACTGAAGCAAAGAACAACAACAACAAGAAAAAACAAAACAGGATCCTTGTGGGAATCATTAATAAGCATAGCTCTGCTCTGTAGCAGCAACAGCAACAAAGTATCTTTGGTAGAAAGGATCCTCTTTGCAGTAAAGAATGTTAAAATAAATGAAAAGGTCGGTCTTGGGGGAACTTTCTCCATCTTCAAATGCAAAACCAACTGAAATGGTCAATGGCACACATACACATGACAGTTTAGTGAAGGTCATCAGTAGGCCAAAGAAAAGCATAAGAGACTGGCCTTGGTGGAAGGCAAAGCAGTTCTCTCATTTAATCAAGTTTTTCAGAATGTTCTCATGCTTGCCTGTAATGAATCATGCAGCCTATAACAACCAGGTCAAAAATTTACCATTGATGTGAGCATGGAATGATTCTAAAACAGTTAATGTGTTATATAGTGTGTGTGTACTTAAAGTTTCATCATGCATGAGAGTTACATTCCGGGATAGTGCATATATGCAAAAATGTATATATCTGAATGGTCCCCCTTGGAAATACCCCTGTACAACCATCCTTACCTTCCAAGCAAGACAGAGAGCTCTTGAGCTCCCCACCTGGGCTCTAGGATGCTCTCACAAGATCTTATGGGAGGGGTGTGTGGCCAGGGGAGCCTCATGAGGGCCAGGTGGAAAGGCTTGGAAGGACAAATTTGGCTCCTGAATCTGAGATTCCCCACTCCTGCCATACAATAAGCAACAGCAGATTTATACCATTATTCATTTAGCAAACAATGTAGCATGGCTCTTTCTCACAGTTACAAATAGTCTTTCCACAAATGAGAACAACATGTTATTAATGCTAGACAAAAGCTAAACAAAGCAGGATGAATAATGTATGTCATAAAATATAGCAACTGTCTTTGTATTTGCATAGCCAATCCTTGCCACAGGGATATTGTATAGTGTGTAACTATTTACACCTAAGAAATTTAAATGTTCTAACAACATTGAAGGAGGGAAAGCAATTTCATCAGGCTTTGTGGCCAAGTGTAATATGTGCAGAGATGCCATTATCTGTATACCCTAGGGACGCTATTTACTTTTCCTGCATTCTCCACCCACATGATGATTTGATTAGTTTTCCTGCCACAAAATTCATTAAGAAATGTGTCAGTGCATTGTGATCTATAGGTCAGTGATATTAAGGCAAGTGTACTTTATTCTGGCTAATCAAGCCATTTAGCTGACATTTGCTTTATGAAGTTCTCAGAATCTAAGAGCATTTAGAGGAAGAATACACTAAAATGAGTTTTTAAATGACTTCCGGGGTGGCGCCTCCGGAAAATGGCGGAATTCCCTTCGAACTGAAGGGAACCCGCTACACGGAGGCTTGGGTCCTGCCGCTACGGCGCAGCGGGGACCCTTAAAAACCACAGGCGGAAGAAGCCTGTGGGCGTGGGACTCGGCGGGCACCGAGAGCGCTCTCTCCCTGGTACAGGAGCCCGGTAACGGGCTCCGGAGTGGAGGTGCGTGGTGCTGTGAGTCGTCTGCTTCCTCCGTGCAGCAAAGCCGCACTGCCGTCTCGGAGAGCGCTGCCTTTTTCCTGGACAATTTGGCATCTAAAACATCTATCCGTGAGTACCCGATCCTGGAAGAGCTGAACTACTTTTAAGATTGGTGAATAAATAAATAACATTGGACTTGAACTTGAAATTGAATTTAATTGGGACTCGGAACGGAAAGGTCTAAACAGGAAGTCGCCTTCCGTTCTTTTGTTATCTGAAGAAAGCAAAGACAAATTATACTAAAGCCTGGAAACTAAATTCTGAGAGAACTAAAATTCAACATCTAAGATTTCTGAACCCCCCCTTCGATTGCAGGAGAAGAAGGGGGTTGTTTTGATCTTTTCAACCCTGCGGGAGTGAGTTTAAAATAAAGTAATTTTCCACCGCCCTGAACCAGGAGCGGGCTGTCAGAACTGACGTTTTGAAGCTTATCCAGCTCGACAGATAGTTAAAAGAAGGGTAACATTTTGATTCTACTGTTGCCTCTTGAATTTGAAAGGGGGAATTTTGGATAAAGTGTTTCTGGAAAAAGAAAGATTGTTACTGTTGTTTTTCCCCCTCTTAAAAAAAAAAAAAAGGGTTTTCCATCTAGTGGAACTGAGTGAAATTGCAATTGCAATGCAGAGAGTTTAAAAGAGAAGGATCATTCTCGTGGGAAAGAATTTTTTCTGACCTTGAAGGACAATGCTTGTACAAAGGCTTGAACAAGTGTTCCTGGAAGGTTTTGCAAAATTAAGTGCCCAGCTGGACCAGATGCGTCAGGAGTCGACCTTGATGAGGACGGAAGTTACCAGAGCACAGCAGCAAACAAATGAAATTCAGTTAAAGTCTATACAAGTATATGAACCTGCTGTAGCGACGGAGGCTTCAGAGATGGAGGGACCTATGGATGGGCAAGATCAGCCTTTGAACTTGATAAATGAACTTGGGACAAACCTGATTCGGAAAGATGAAATGTGGTCAGATTTGGAAATGGGGGGATGGATTGACACCCCTCTATATGGTTATTTGGACTTTCCGAGTCTAGTGATGGGCCATCAGAGGAATGGAGTAGTCGAAGTCTCCAAGTTTCGTGGAAATTGGAAGTGGTATTATCTGCTGTCTGGCTTGGGCAATGGGTTTGGGATGGACTTGCTGCAAAGAGTCAAAAGCATCTTCTTGCTGGAGTATCCACGACTGAAAGGGAAATATCAACAAGAGTGGCGAAAGGGGCAAGAAAGAGACTTGAGGGCCTCGGATATGAGACAACCAGGTTAAGGAGCCGGATTATTGAGGTTAAAAGGACTGACAATCCCGGGTCCAGGGGAGGAGGCTGGAAGTTGACTGGATTGAATCTGACTTATTGTTTTTGCTTTCTTATTTTTAATATTGGGAATGTTTATAAATGTTTGAAGGATGTTGAATGAAATTATATGACTTAAGTAAGGATTGGTAAATGATTTGAAAAGAGGTAATGATGTAAGAATTTGCTAAATATTGAATATAAGCTTTGAGTTTTAAAGTTTTTATATGACAAGAGGGAAAATAGAATAAGGATACGCAATGATAGATTGTTATGAAAAAACAGAAAGGATTTGCTGTAAAAATTAAATACTAAGAAACAAGAGACGGAAGGAGGAGGAAGTCTAGAAAGGAAGTTAATGGAGATCGTAAAGGATTTTATATT